CATATTTTGGTGGCAGCAAGTGAACGGCTTCGAATTGTAGTAACGAGCGGTGGGGACGCGGCTTCGCAAAGTGGATAAAAATAACTCTAAAAGTAGTAGTAACTAAGAATTTAAGTTAAATGGAAAAGAAAAACTTAGAGGTATTAAGGAAAGAGACAGAAAAAATATTAGTTGAATACAACAATGCACACCTATCTTGGTTTGGCAGAATATCCTTATTTAAAATGAAAATCCTAGCCAAAGTAAATTTTATATTTAGAATGATACCCCTCAAAATTTCCAAAATTGAATTGAATAAATGACATTAATTAACAAACAAATTTTGTAATAATAGGGAAAAGCATAGAATAAATAAACACTACTGGTACTAAACCACAAAAAGGAGGATTGGGACTACTCAAAATTAAGTTATTATGAAACGAACCAATTGAAACATGTGGTAGAAGGGATTGTTGTAGTAGAGCCTGTGAGTAACGTTACAAACAGTAGCATGGATGCCAGAAGGGGGAAAAGGGTTACTCGGGAGCAGGAATCTGATGATGAGCAGCAGAGAAAGAGGATATTTACAGCACCTACATATGAGGAGTCATTTGAGGGATTCTTTGGGGATGATGGGTCAATGAGTGAAGAAGAAGGAGACACCATGGATTGGACTAAGTTAAGAAGAGTTCAAGCTACTTGTGATGAGCCAACAACTAGTGATGCCTTTATGGGGTTCTCTGGGAGTGAAGACTGGCAATCAGGGGATCCAACTGAGTCTTGGGGGGACCTAAGTCTTGACAGGAGATGGAGGAATTGGAGGGAAGGACAAGGGAATTCACATGAAGAACTGGGAACAGCTGCGGGGGATAATGATCTTCTGGAGATGATTCGTAAATGAAAGTGGGTTCAGGGGTTATGGGTCCTTGCAGAAGGCAAGGTGTTGATGAGCGTTCGTATGTTGGGTGCTGTGTATTGGAAAAGTTTCTTGTAGACTTGCTGCTGCCTGTTTCGTGTTCGGCGTTGGTTTAGGAACTGCAGTTTGGATCTCCTGATCATTCGCGTATTATTGACCTTGATTGGCTTCTCATGAATGTGGGCTTCTCCCTTCCTGGACCTGGACCGGTTTAGCTATAGATGCTGCTTCTGCGGACACTGGAGCCGCGCTGTTTCGGATTTCTCCCGCTTCAATCCTGGACTTCGGCTGACGACACTTCTCTTCCTGCGACCCCTCTTTTTTGTTAACCAGTTGTGTACTGTGCCTTTTTGTTTTGCCTCAGAGCGCTTTGTTTAATTCGTTTCGTTTTATCCAGTTAATTTGGATTATATTTCTGTGACCAGATCTGGTTGTTTCTTGAGTTTTGACCAGTGGCACTGCATTCAAGTACCTCTGTGTCCTTTTTTCTTTGTTTTAATAAACTCAGTTTTGAAGCCACTTTTGAATCTGGCCCTTTAAGGTGTCTGTGATTCTAACAGGGATGCTAAACAAAACTGGTACAGACTGATATAGAAATGGGATTAGAATATATATTTTAAAGAATACTCAAAACAGGAAAATAATCAAATAGGAAATGTACAATTACTGAGGGACTGGGGAAATGATTGGCTTGTGATGCAAATATGTTCCAGAATCAATGTGCTTCTAATTCTCTTATCTCCAAATAGTGATCAAAGGGAGTGAGTTTGAAAAAAAGAGACTGAGCACTGCCAGATGGGGAAAAGGTTATGATTACTTTCAAACACAGCTGATTTTCAACTCCCCATCCTTCAAAATAGCTGTTTATTTGTCATGAAGTTTGAAGTGAGTCAAGAGCTAATATATATATGAAAGGAAGGCTCAAATTTACAGTTCCCAGATGTTTGTAGGATACACTTACCGAAAGCTTTGCGGGGCTCAGTGAGTTTCAATGTAAAAGTGCGGCCTTTGGGCAGATCCTTGAGCATTTTGGCGACTTCATAATGCCGGCAACCGATTAGACTCTGGCCATTGATGGACTCTATCATGTCCCCCACATTGATGACTTGGATGCGGTCAATAACACTCCCTTCCTTGATTCTCTGCCAACAATAGATGGGAGTAGTCATTACACAAATGCAAGCCCAGTAATTTTCTAACCCAGATTGATTCTACTTTGACAGTTTCAAAAGCAATATCATCAAAAAGGAAATGTGATGGCAGTGGAGGAAGTGCTTCATTCAACCATTCCAAACCCATCCCTGTGTGATCGTTATCTGATAGCCTGTCATCAGGAAAAAGGATAGTGCGGGCACGCTCATGTTTGTGACTGAAAGAGATATACCAAAGTTCATGACACATCAAGCAAACTGAATGAGTTGCCTGGCTCTTGAATGCTTTTCTAATATGTGGCTAAAGATAGACCTTGATGAATCTTCTACCTCATGTATAGATTTCCCTTTTTTTCTGTGGAAATTTACTCTTCTGTCAGGCTTTCAAGCAAAGGAGACCATGTACTTAGTAGTAGCAAGAAAAAAGGTTCAAGATTAAGAATAAAAACACCTCCATCCTTTCTACTCTTTTTCTCACCAGGCCCCACCACAACACAAAATCATGGCAAGGTATTGCAACAGCCTGTTTTGATTCAGTGCTGAACCTGCATTTACTCCAGGAGGATCATGAATCATAATTGCCCTTCTTTTTCTAATTGACTCACTGTGCAGGTGAGTAGTGGCACAACCAGTCTGGCATCCTGTGGCAGCAGAAACAATTGTCAAATACCTTGCAAGGAAGAATAACCCCACCCCAAACAAGACATCAAAATGATACTCCTGGTAGCAGCATGGGAAAAGAATAGCTCTTCTTGTACATCTTACCCAAACAGCAGCACTAATCCTTTTATCAGTCAGAAGATATTAGGCTTCTGAATTTACCTCTTCCCTGACCCCGATTTCTGTCTATATACTAAAAATGTCACAGCCTTCCTATTCCTTGTGTAACAATCATTTTTGTAAAAACGTACCAGTGACCATGAACTGAAAAAGAAAAATATCTAAAGTTTACGTCCCCATGAGTGGTATATTCGCTATGCTGGAGTTTTTTGCTGGAGTATGTAAGTCACTTTGAGTCTCCTTTGGGGTATAAATAAAGTAAACAAATATGCATCTCTGATCTGATGTTAGATTCTTAACAGTAAACTAGAAAGTGAAGAGGGCTGCACCCAGTTCACCCTTTCTCCATTTTTATTTCCTGCGTATGGAAAGCAGCAAAGCTGTGGGGGGGGGGGGGGTTCTGTTCATGAGGAGTTTTTACGTGAACCAGAAAAGGCAGGAGTTTTGCTTGCGTAGAAGCTCTCCACATGAACATAAACCTCTTCCCTTCAGTCTTGTTACTTTCTAACTTAGGAAGAGACTCTCCTTTTTGCAGTGCAATGAGGAGAGGGGGCTTTGTCCTTAACTTGCTAATCCAAAGTGGCTAATGCCTGAATAAGGCTTCAGTATGGAAAGCATTACAGTTGATTCTGGAATAACCCCCAAAAAGAAACAGAAGAAGGGAAGGAGACTAGAACCAGAGTAAGTGTTCAACTGTGCAGAAGTCTTTCGCAGCTGTCAAAACCACAGCAACCAGATAACAGTGGCTGTATCAAAGTTGTATCAACTTAAGGGGTCTGCTTAGGCAACGGTGAAAAGATCTAAAGCTGCTTATGTAAAGAAGTAGTACTATTATACAGGCTGAGGGGTTATGCTGGGCCATTTTAATAGGACAAAGATTGGGCCTTTCCTTTCAAGTATCCTATAGCGAAGCCGTTCCCTCTAGCACTGGAAGGCAGGTGAGCTCTGCACATAGTGCAGCAATTACTTATCAGCAGCACAGCAGATACAATAGTTTGGCCTGTTGCCATGTGAAAATTTCCTCCCCTGTCAAGATAGCAGCCTGGGCTCCCTAAAATCACAGGGAGCACAAAGATCAGCCAGTTCCTGTAACTAGAACTATGGTCCCTTTACACTTTGCTAGGAATACCATGATTATGTACTCTGAGGAACTTGCTGACAGGAAAGAAAATATACAAAAACCAATCTCAGGTCCAACTTATTTCCTGAAAGCAAATAGGTAATGTTTCTATCTCTAGGAGGAAATTTAGTGCCCAATTTTCTTAGGTAACTCTGTTGCAGCTATTTTCAACACTTCTCATGAAGTAGAACAAGAAGTGTATGCGGAACAACTGTTGCAGTCTTATGCTCTTGAATATGCTCAAAATTGAAAAAAAGAGCAGATGTCACTATTTTCAAGCCAATTTTTGAATTATGCTGTATTTGTACTGGGGTAATTAGCAAAACTCCATAGAGGATTAAGATTTTAGTAAAGCAAGCTTCTTCAGGGGCATAACTTTGTGCTAAAGGATATTTTGTACAGGGCCGTATGAACAGTAAGTAGTTAGGGCTGAGAGTGGAAAAGGCTTCTCGCTGTCAATCTTTACTTATTCAATAAAAAGAAACAACAAAAAATGTTTCTCTCTCAATTCTCTTCTTTTTTTTTCTTAGTGCAAAAGGAGATTACATTGGACAGGAGTCTGAATCAGGATGAGAAGCTGCTTACTCCAGCTTTTAAAAACTCTCTACAATATTTTTTCTATGAAGGAAGAACAGAATTAAACCTTTAAATATTTATGAAAACTATGGCATTGCATGTCTCTTGTCACAGTATTTATGAACTGCAACACTGCTGGATTCCAGCAACAATCTATCTCATCTAGCATTGTATTTCCCACAAGGGTTAACAAGACAGAATTGTAAAACAGAGTTACATTGCTTTAGAACATGAGGCCCCATTGACCTACAATGACAACTAGTAGTCAGTCAGTGTACCAATCATTTCATTTTAAGATAATCACATCACTTTGTTATAGCAAATTAAATACATTACCTATCTGTAACTTTTTTCCGTCTTCTTTTTCTTCACCGGGGGCCCTTCCGAATAGCCATATAACCCAGAATATCAAAGCAGAAAATCCCACAATATTTGTTTTGAATTGGGTTATCTGGGTCCACACTGCCATATATTCCAGTTCAAAGCAGATAATGTGGGATTTTATTCAACTGTGTGGAAGGGGCCTAAGTAATACATGTGTTAGCATTGTTGGCAAGAAATAGCCAGAATATTCTTCTTCTTCTAGATCAGGCCTCTTCAACCTGCAAAGTCCTAACCAGCTTGTTCAATAGTCAGGAATTCCGAGAGCTGAAGTCCAAAACATTTAAAGAGGTGCAGGTTGAAGAGGCCTGTTCTACAGCATCCTAACATTTGTAAATAGTTTGATAATATTTTTTCTATATTAAATAATCCTGAGAAGCCTAGGCATTCTAGATCACTTAATTTATCAGCATGTATAGTCTAAAGCATTTGAGGGCCAAAGGTTTCTGTTTTACAGCATTAAGAAACAGAATGTCCTGCTTTTTATATTTTATGTAGGAAAATTCTTCAGCAAGTGGACATGTGTGCTTTGGAGTCACTAGAATGGAGTCGCTTTTGAGCCAGAATGGAAAGGGAATGGGGTGAAGAATCAATGGCCTTTGCTAGAAATGACTGGGGCTGGGATTCTCAGTCCAGCAAGGCATGTGAAGGCTTGGTGGTAAGTATTTTACAGAAAGAAAAATATTGCAAAAGTTAAGTGGGATGGTTGGAATTGTAAAACAGTACATCCGAAGCCATCAGATTAGAAGGGATAGTCCAAGCAATATAGAGGGCAACAGTAACACAAATCTTTGGAAAAGTCCAATGGTTCAAAGTTCCACCTCCCATCAACATGCAGGCATACAACAACAAAAGTGAAAGCACCATACGTTTGGTCTATTCCCGTGATGGTGAACCTATGACACGCGTGTCAGCACTGACACGCATGGCTATTTTTGATGACACACGGCCACATGCGGCCGCATACAGAGAAGTACTCCTTATAAGAGCCAATCTAATTCCATCCTTAAATTTGTAAAAGGCTCTACAAATTTAACATCTGCACGTTTGAGCATTGTTCACTCCATAACTCAGCATGCAATATACATTTTTCTTATTTAAACTATAATTATTGCAAAATTATGGGGTGTTTTTTTCTCAAAGTTGACACCCCACCCAAGTTATGCTCAGGTTTTTGGCAAATTTTGACACACCAAGCTCAAAAGGTTGCCGTCACTGGTCTATTCAATGATACCTTGATGAAAGCATAGCCAGCACCATTGTCCGTGATGGTTAGGCCCAGTGCTTCCTCAGACTTGAAGACTTCAACCTCCTTTCTCTGGCCCTTTGTGTGGGCAAAGATAAAATCTTCCAGGCCAATCTGGCCACCCAACAGCTTGTCCATGTCCACTTTGTGAGTATTTAAGGTGCAGAACATCACCTTTAAAAGATCAAGAAAGAAAGCATGAGAAACTGAGGATACAGGAAACCAAATGTACATAATATGGCTGTTTCTGCAAGTTTATAAATAAAGGATATGGATACTTTTGGGCACTAGTTTCTAATTTAGGTATTCAGGCATTTCTCTGTACCAGGATTATTCAAAGTGCAATCCCATCTAGTCCCCACAAAACCCTGAACAGGCTGGTATTGTAAATTATACACCATTTTGCTGTATAGGGGATTTATGAAGCACACGCCTCCAACCCCTGATGTTTTGTCCATTTTTGTCTTTGAAGATGGAGAAATTTCACTCAAAGCTCATTCAAAAGCAGTTGTGTGCAGAATAGTCTAAATAAAAATGGCATCATTATGAGCCACAAACATTTTGCCTACCTCAGCTGGTGAGACTTTAAAGGCCTCAGCAATTTTACTGTACAGTTCTTTGACATTTGTAAAGCCCTCAATCCGGCCTGTAGGACTTCCATGGGCCAGTTGGGTGTGGAAAACCAGGCGAGGACGGAGGCTTGCTGGTGGAGGGGGAAGACCAGGCTGAAGTGTTGCCACGCCACCAACGCTGCCTAACCCCACCCCACCCAGACCACCGCGGAGGGGCTCAGCTTCCTCATTCTCCACCAGTGGTGGGGCCTTCTTCCGTCGGCCTAGTCCAAGCGGCATGAGTGAGATGTGGCCAGTCAGCAGTGAAGGTCAGTCTCCCAGGATAGGGACCTAGAGGGGAAACAACACACAAGACCCATAGGGATCAACACAGGTGCCATGCAGATTGGATGAAATAAACATCAGATTATAAGAGGAGACTAAGTTGGGCCAGAAAGATAATGAACCTGTTATACATGGAAGATAATATTCTATGTCTGTGCTAACAGGGCATGCTCACACAATTTATGAGGAATCAAGGACAGCAACTCTATAAATGAAGTCATAACCAAACTTTTACCCAGCTTGGCTAGCCTTGTCTCATTGGGGCATACTAACAGCCTAAAAAAGAGAGGGGGATGAATAGATTTAGTAAAAGTGTTTCACAGCAGTCACCAAAAGATTACACCTACTCCTATGATAGGTAAATACCTACATGATATTTGTCTCCTGGGAATTTATTTGCCCTGTTGCAGAAATTAAAAGATTATTCAGATCAGCAAGCATCTGTGGATGCAGCCCACAATAATGTTTAAGCTTCAGACAATAGCTCCATGTATTCACAAGCATTAAGTCCTGTGAACACATCATGGAAGAGGTGGCAGAGAACTATGCCGCATAGCTATGTGTGTGTCTGTGTATCTATATCACTCCGTTTTCTTTGAAAACACTATATAGCACAAATAGAAAAATGGTCACAGTGAAATAGGATATGTAAAGAGCCCACACTTTCATCCTCAAATATAAATTGGGTATCTCTTCTCAAAAGGATGAAGTTAAGTGTTTAAGATTTTCCATTTTTGGAGATGTATGTGTATTTGCACATATACCTAAAATGAGATACCATATTTCACTTCATAAAAGTTGCAACCCTCTTTTGGGGTCCCAATATTGGTTCCTTGCCTTTCCTTGCTGTGCATTCCCTATAGTTTGCTCCAGTTAGGAGCAGTCAGGCTCCTAACTGGAGCAAACTATAGGGAGCGTACAATGCTCTGTTTAAAACAGCTTCATTGGCTGCCGATAAGCTGCTGAGCCAAATTCAAGGTGCAGGTTATGACCTATAAAGCCCTAAACTGTTCAGGCCCCGCCTATCTTCACGAGCGTATCTCCTTCTATGAACCAGCACGAGCTCTAAGATCCACTGAAGAGGACCTTATCTCGCTCCCACCTCCCGTCTCTAGAATACCCTCCTTAGGGAAATAAGACAGGCCCCATCCCTCTCCTCTTTTCATAAGAGCTTGAAGACTTTGTGGTTTCACCAGGCCTTTGGAGAATGACGAGTACTAGCCCCAGCCCCTGACCACTGGTTAAAAGCTGGCCTTGCACTCCCACCCACTACCCCAAAAAGTTTCCCAATAGGCTCTGGTAATGAGCAGCCACAGGTCACACTATTACTATTGTTGGGACAAGTTTTTGCACTTTACCCATTCCCCTGGCCCCCCATGTCTTGCTTTGCACTAGCCTCGGCCCGGCCCTCTTATATTGCCTGGGCCCATTCTGAAATTCTGGCCCTAACAGTTTATCCTGCACAAAAGAATAGGGTGGGATTGGTTTTTAATATACATGTTGTTTTGATAATTCTATGCTTATGTTTTTTTACTCTGTATGTTTTTGTGTTTTTTGCTACATGGAAACCGCCCTGAGTCCTCTAGGCGAGACTGAGCAGTATATTATTATTATTATTATTATTATTATTATTATTAATAATAATAATAATAATAATAATAATAATAATTGCATTGCAGCTTGCAGACTCTTTGGCTTCATTTGTATTTCTTTTAAAATACTGCCTTACCTCTTAGGAGGAGGCTGGATCTGGGGCTTTTCCTTCTCTCTCCTGCCTCCTTGGAAGTAAGATTTTTTTAAAAAAAAGAAATTTGAAACCAAGTCGTCTGGGTCTGGGGCTTTTTTTCTCTTACTTCTGAGGAGGCAAAGAGGGAGAAGGGAGAGCCCTAGATCCAGCCTCCTCCTAATAGGTAAGGCAGTATTTTAAAAGAAATACAAATGAAGCCAAAGAGTCTTCTCCATCCTGCCTCCTAGGAAGTAAGAGAGGAAAAAGTGCAGGCCCAGTCAACTCCACACAATTTCTTTCTTCTTGTAATGGTTGCACCCCTTTTTTTCTTCAGAAAAAAAGAGATAAACACACAACTATTATGCAGTGAATTGTTAATGGGAACCAAGTCTAAACACAAAATCTATATTTTATATACACCTTATATACAAAACCATGAAGCTAATTTTATATCACACATTTAATAATTTGGTTCATGTATAAAAGTTTGTATGCACTGAAGCATCAGAAAGTAAAGGTGTCACTATCTCAGCTACCTCTACAAATGATTTTGGCTTTTGGAATATGACAGATTTCTAGATAACGGATACTCAACCTGTAACTACAGAAGACTAGAGTGCAAAATGCACAATTTATTTAAGTACTATTTATAATTGCCACGCAAGGGAGTTGTTATGGTATACTATTAACATATATTATTATTGCCATACAAATGGCCAGCTGAAGTCCTCTAGAAATGCCTAATCTTACTGGATGCCTTATTGTTGAAATTCTGTTGGGTAGGAACAATGAGAAGAGGACTTATAAGCAAACTAGTGTAGTTATGATTCTTCTCCTACTGACATTGCAACTAATCTTATTTTGTGACTTACTGTCTGAATTTAATCTGACACCATGAGTCTGGCCTTGCTAGCTGCAGCGATGTTGGAACACACAAAATCTATTTCTGAATTCAAGAGGAAGTTGCTTCACAGACAAGGTTTTATTATCTGCTGAAGAGAATGCAACACTTGTTCTAGCTTGATACTGATATGAATTAGCGCTATAAGGAAAGAGGCCTCTGTTTTAACTTTGAAGCTGCAATTTACGTTTTTGTTTTTCCGCAAGCATAGCATACACTGCTCACAAAGAAATTGTGCAGCCAAATTGTGAAATGTCATGTCTTTGCCAATTTTGTATCAACTGAAAAGAAAACACTTTAAAAAGAGAGTTAACTAAGCATACTTAGTTGACTTTTTATATAATCAACTAATAGTCTAGAGGGGATTCTTAATGGCCAGATTTTCATCCAATGCTTGTATCATACACTTGTTTAAGAGCCTCAATAAATCAAAAGTTGCTGCTTATATTTGTAGAATAGTGCATCAATGTATTTTCCCCCACACAGTAAGATTCAGACTTCAGGCAACTTGCAGCTACAGTGATACTTATCCTTCTAAATCAATACAACCAACCTTCAAAAAACAAACAAACAGGGAAGCACATTCCTGCACTGGAGAAAGGAAAGCAATTGCAAACTATCTCTGAGTATCCTTTGCCTCAGAAAATGCAATGAAATTCATGACAGTCAAAAAAATCCAAGTAGTAGTGCATTATTATCTCTCTAACATTTTGTTCATCATTGCCAAATAATTACATACTATAATCCATTCTGAAAGAAACCCCCACTCCACACCATTTGAGAAGGAATGTACATGGATCCAATACAGGAAATAAGAAGCATTTATAATTTTTTTTTAAAAAAAATGTTGAGTAGAAGGCTCAAGAAACCTCTTAATTCCATCTGATTCAGAGATAACGAAGCCTAGCTTTGAATTTCATGCCAACAATGAACCAGAACCATATTGCTACATGTAGGAACATAACAAGAAGCATTCTAATACTGCGTATACTATTAGGAATACATTTCCCTTTTCTTGGGCATGTCTTCCTTTGTGGAGTGTGTCTGTGAGGCTTTTAAAACTCTGGGTTTTCTGTCACGGTCTTGGAAACCTGAAGGCAAGGAAACTTTGTAAGTCTAATTACTGCAAATTTATTGGAGAAAACAAAGCACCACACAGATAATCTTTTTTTCACTAGAAATTGCCAAGATTATAGCTTGTGAATTTAACATTATTAATCTTTGTTGCTGGGTCTCATGAAGAGAGGTGAGGTGGGGAAGGGAATGGCAGCAACAATGGTTGCAGCAAGAAAAGAGCTACTGAATGCTATGGAGTGGCTATGGGCTTCTCTTCTGGATTATCCAGATGTTTCTCTCTCCTTTTTGCCTTCCCAATGACCTCCTATTGTCCCTTTTATCATTCATAGCTTTTCTTTTTGGTCCCCTTGACACTTTTCCTTCCTGATGGGCTACTTTGTAAAACTGTTGTGGGAACCTGCCATTCCGGAGTAGTACATAAGCAAGATGGATATTTAATTCCTAGCTTTTCTGAGACATTGCTGATATAATATGATCAATTCTTGATACTATTAACTATTGCTATCTAATTAATTACAATTGTTATTTAAATATAATGAAAGTTAAGAATATTCCTAGTACAAATTTTCACAGCTTATACAGTAGGATAATTTAAAGTGCGAATCATTGTTGTGATTGGTGTCTTGAAGTAATCAGTTGGCAAATGGGTTACCATATTCTGAAAAACAAAGAGGACAAGTAAATCAAATGGTTTGTCCAGTCAGTCTAGTCACATCAGAATGGCAGTGGTTCTTTAGAGCATCGCACAGAAAAGGATCTTCAACATCTACCAACTATTTCTTTTTAACTAGATATACCCTAAGGGCTGGGATTTTCTATAGGAAAGGCATTCACTCCATTACTATACTGCAGACCTTCCTAAAGGCAACAACGGATAACTGAATAATTGTTTCTTGTACAGTGAGCTGCTTCCCACAAGAATGTAGATGACTTGATTGACAGCAATATCCGGAGATGGTCTGCATGCATGAATGGGTTGCCCCAAATCTAATACCATAGCAACTGGGTGGGAAAAATTCCCCACATCTACAGGCCACAAGTTTAGAAGAAAGCCAGTGGGGATGGGATATAACAGGATGGGGCCAGATGCCATTTCATGCTCTTTTATTCACATACCCTCAATCACTCCCCCCTCCCCACCTCTCTCTCACACACAAATACACACACACACCCCATTTACATATCCATTCAGCATTTCACTCTCTTTGCCCAACCTTACTCAGCCCTGTTCCCCAAGCAACAGTGAGACCCTGAAATAAACCCTACACCAGTTCCAATGTGAAGGGCATTTTTCTCTCCCCAAAGTCTCTTGTCCCACAGAAAGAATTTTA